AGGTGTGCCCCAGGTGTGCCCAGGTGCGCCCCTCACCTGTCAGCGCCTCCTGAGCGAAGTATTTGACGTCGACGTCCTGGTCCTGTGTCAGCTTCTCCAGCACCGGCTTCACCTCGGTCTGCAGCGTCCTGCAGGTGGGACAGGTGGGACAGGTGAGAGATGGACAGGTGAGATATGGACAGGTGAGATACAGGTGGGACAGGTGGGACAGGTGAGACAGGTGAGAGATGGACAGGTGAGATACAGGTGGGACAGGTGGGACAGGTGAGAGACAGGTGAGATACAGGTGAGACAGGTGAGATACAGGTGGGACAGGTGAGACAGGTGAGAGATGGACAGGTGAGATATGGAAAGGTGAGATACAGGTGGGACAGGTGGGACAGGTGAGATATGGACAGGTGAGACAGGTGAGACAGGTGAGAGACAGGTGAGGGACAGGTGGGACAGGTGAGATATGGACAGGTGAGATGGGACAGGTGAGATACGGACAGGTGAGATATGGACAGGTGAGATATGGACAGGTGAGATACAGGTAGGACAGGTGAGGGACCCAAACCCACTATAACCCATTCCTAAGCAGTACACCCAGTCCAAACCAGTACAAACCAGTATAACCCAGTAAAACCCGTCCAAACCAGTGCTCCCAGTCCAAACCAGTATAAACCAGTATAAACCAGTACCCGCTGTCCAGGATGGGCCCAATGTGCTCCTGCCCAAACCAGTACACCCAGTATAACCAGTACAAACCACTATAACCCACTTAAACCCAGTAAAACCAGTCCAAACCAGTATAAACCAGTATAGACCAGTATAAACCAGTATAAACCAGTACCCGCTGTCCAGGATGGGCCCGATGCACTGCAGCCCACACCAGTACACCCAGTATAACCAGTACAAACCAGTATAACCACTATAACCCACTTAAACCCAGTAAAACCAGTCCAAACCAGTATAAACCAGTATAGACCAGTATAAACCAGTATAAACCAGTACCCGCTGTCCAGGATGGGCCTGATGCGCTGCTGCCCACACCAGTACACCCAGTATAACCAGTACAAACCAGTATAACCACTATAACCCACTTAAACCCAGTAAAACCAATGCAAACCAGTCCAAACCAGTCCAAACCAGTATAAACCAGTATAAACCAGTATAAACCAGTATAAACCAGTACCCGCTGTCCAGGATGGGCCCGATGCGCTGCAGGGACTTGGCCACGTTGAAGCGAACGTTGGCCACGGCGTCGGCCGCCATGCGCAGCACGGTGGGCAACATCTGCGTGGTGGTCACCTCCTGCCCGCACACCTCCGACAGCACCTGGCCAGGTGGGACAGGTGAGATATGGACAGGTGAGATGGGACAGGTGAGACACAGGTGAGACAGGGACAGGTGAGACAGGTGAGACAGGTGAGACACGGGGCCATGGGCAACATCTGCGTGGTGGTCACCTCCTGCCCGCACACCTCCGACAGCACCTGGCCAGGTGGGACAGGTGAGACAGGTGAGATGGGACAGGTGAGACAGGTGAGACATGGACAGGTGAGACATGGACAGGTGAGACAGGTGAGACAGGTGAGATATGGACAGGTGAGACAGGTGAGACAGGGACAGGTGAGACAGGTGAGACAGGTGAGACATGGACAGGTGAGACAGGTGAGACATGGACAGGTGAGACAGGTGAGACACGGGGCCATGGGCAACATCTGTGTGGTGGTCACCTCCTGCCCACACACCTCTGACAGCACCTGGCCAGGTGAGAGACAGGTGAGATACAGGTGAGATGGGACAGGTGAGACATGGACAGGTGAGAGACAGGTGAGACACAGGTGAGATATGGACAGGTGAGACAGGTGAGACAGGTGAGACATGGACAGGTGAGATGGGACAGGTGAGACAGGGACAGGTGAGACAGGTGAGACAGGTGAGACATGGACAGGTGAGACATGGACAGGTGAGATGGGACAGGTGAGACATAGACAAGGATTGGGTACATCTGTTGGTCATGCCCAGGTGTGCCCAGGTGTGCCCCCAGGTGTGCCCAGGTGTGTCCCTATCCCTCTCAGGGGTGCCCAGGTGTGCCCCCAGGTGTGCCCAGGTATGTTCCTATCCCTCTCAGGGGTGCCCAGGTGTGCCCAGGTGTGTCTGTATCCCTCTCAGGTGTACCCAGGTGTGTTCCTGTCCCTCTCAGGGGTGCCCAGGTGTTCCCCCAGGTGTGCCCAGGTGTGTTTTATCTCTCTCAGGTGTGCCCAGGTGTGTTTTATCCCTCTCAGGTGTGCCCAGGTGTGTTCCTGTCCCTCTCAGGGGTACCCAGGTGTGCCATGGCTGTACCCAGCTGCGCCCAGGTGTGTTCCTATCCCTTTCAGGGGTGTCCAGGTGTGCCCCCAGCTGTGCCCCCAGCTGTGCCCAGGTGTGTTCCTATCCCTCTCAGGTGTGCCCAGCTGTGCCCCCAGGTGCCCCCAGGTGTGCCCAGGTGTGCTCCTGTCCCTCCCAGCTGTGCCCAGGTGTGTTCCTGTCCCTCTCAGGTGCCCCCAGGTGTGCCCAGGTGTGTTCCTGTCCCGCCCAGGTGCGCCCAGGTGTGCCCAGGTGTGTTCCTGTCCCGCCCAGGTGCACCCAGGTGTGCTCCTGTCCCGCCCAGGTGCGCCCAGGTGTGTTCCTGTCCGTCTCAGCTGTGCCCAGGTGTGTTCCTATCCCTCTCAGCTGTGCCCAGGTGTGTTCCTGTCCCTCTCAGCTGTGCCCAGGTGTGCTCCTATCCCTCTCAGCTGTGCCCAGGTGTGTTCCTGTCCCTCTCAGCTGTGCCCAGGTGTGTTCCTGTCCCTCCCAGGTGTGCCCAGGTGCGCCCAGCTGTGTTTTATCCCTCTCAGCTGTGCCCAGGTGTGTTTTATCTCTCTCAGGTGTGCCCAGGTGTGCTCCTGTCCCTCCCAGCTGTGCCCAGGTGTGCTCCTGTCCCTCCCAGCTGTGCCCAGGTGTGTTCCTGTCCCTCTCAGCTGTGCCCAGGTGTGTTCCTGTCCCTCCCAGGTGCGCCCAGGTGCGCCCAGGTGCGCCCAGGTACCCACGTTGATGCAGAAGAGCGTGGTCATGCGGTGCAGGTAGTTGGGGTCGGCGGCCATGGCCAGCACCTTGGGCACGATGGTGCCCTGCGCCCAGGTGTGCCCGAAGCGCTCCACCAGCTTCCGCAGGTTACTGGTGGCGGCCTCGCGGATGGCGTACACTGCGGGGAAAGCGGCGCGGACCAGTTCGGACCAGTACGGACCAGTATGGACCAGTTCGGACCAGTATGGACCAGTATGGACCAGTACAGATCGATATAAACCAGCACGGACCAGTATGGACCAGTATGGACCAGTTCGGACCAGTATGGACCAGTATGGACCAGTACAGATCAATATAAGCCACTACGGACCAGTTCAGACCAGTATGGACCAGCTCGGACCAGTATGGACCAGTATGGACCAGTATGGACCAGTACAGATCGATATAAACCACTATGGACCAGTTCAGACCAGTATGGACCAGTATGGACCAGTACNAGTATGGACCAGTATGGACCAGTATGGACCAGTACAGATCGATATAAACCACTATGGACCAGTTCAGACCAGTATGGACCAGTATGGACCAGTACAGATCGATATAAACCACTACGGACCAGTTCAGACCAGTATGGACCAGTATGGACCAGCATCGACCAGCACGGACCAGTTTGGACCAGTACGGACCAGTATGGACCAGTATGGACCAGTATGGACCAGTGCATATCGATGTAAACCAGTACGGATGAGTTCAGACCAGTATAAACCAGTATAGATCAATATAAACCACTATCATCCAGTATAAACTGGTTTGAACTGGTATTAACCAGTATAAACCAGTATAGAGCAATATAAACCAGTATGGACAATCCCTCCCAGTTCCCTCCCA